TTTATCTACAGCAACTAATTGCGAAATTATATGTTGCTCGCTTCGAGATTTAAAATTGTGACAAGATTCTTAATTATTAAAATTATTAAAATTACATTTCGAAGATATATTATATTTTTTTAAATTACAATGTAATATAGATATCTGGAACAGCTGCAAAATTGGGAAAACTAAATGCCTATCATCATTGCACGCTTTTGGTCAACGTGAACAAAGCCAATCTGAGTTCTATTCTTGAAAGAAAAGAGGTAAGTTCTCCATATTGTTGACGCACACGTGTGTCTTCATATAAAATAAAATATGTATTTGTGTCACAAAATGATTCTATAATGCAACAATATATCAATATCGCGCTTTGTTAAAAATAATTCTATGATTATTATGCATAAAAAGTAAGAAAAAGACAAATGATGAATAAATATACTTTCAGAATAGTATTGTTACAAATGCAACAACTTCTATACGTTCTCCAATTATGAACTTGATTGATATAAACCGAAATATTCAAATGGATAAGCTCTTGTCTGCTATTGGTTGGGAATATCTGCGTACGAAAGCCCTCGCTCTCGAAGACGGAAGATATAATCTGGTTGAACAACAAAAGGGATTCAAGTTTATCAATCCAACCGAAGACTGGTTCCCTGGTATGTATGAAAAACAGCTCTTATTATTTAAAAAATATATTGAAGGCATGACAGATTGATTTTAAAATAATTTTATACATTTTATTATCAAATGGAAATTACCGTTATCAAATGGAAATTATATATGATATAATGTGTATATGTGTATATATATATATATATATAATTAGTTGATAACGATTTAAAATAATTCTATAAATTACGTATTATCTAGGAATTGATAACTTCACCAGTGAATTCCGTTCTTGGGATTGGAATTTCGGCAGAACGCCGAAATTTATAGTTACCCGCACGCTTGATTTTCCCGCTCACGATGGTAAAATATATCGCCTAAACTTGAGTTTGGAAGTGCAAAACGGTTTCGTGGAAGAAATCAGAATGAGTTTGCCCGCTGGCTTAGTATCGACCGACTTCGCCCAAGATGCGAGTGTCATTAGTAATATTCGCGGCACAAAATACAATCATGATGTAACAGAAAACATAATCACAGCGATTGGCGGTAAAACCTTAAATACGACTCAACAAATCATAGATGAGAACAATATGAGGCTTGACGAGGTTACACTACAATGACCCGGAGTCTCGAGCAATCACCATTCTGCTCCTAATGTCATTGTGTTCAAATGAAAATAATTAGTGTTAAAATTATGCACGTTGTATACATATACATGTATAACATTATGTCTATATTTTTTATATATGTATGTGTATATGTATATATGCACAAACATACAAAAAAAAAAGATTATCAATCACTATCATTGCAATATTCTAAACATTAGGCGTATTCAAGCTGATGAAGCAGCTAGCTTCGCTGAAAGATTAAATATGATTGGCTTCTACTTATAGATCCAATAAATCATATTCAATCGCACGATGAGCAAGCTACTGGTTTTGTCCAGTTTGAACATGGCTATTGAAGAATATAGTAAAAGTGAGACGGTCCCGTTAGCCCACATCCTGATAGCATGTGCACTTGGTCGATGTGTAATTTAATAATTTTTCTGTTTTTGTTATCAATGTGAATATTTTATGTTAAATTATTCTTGCCAATTAGCGATGTGCGCAATTGGAATCCTTCTCGTAAAACGCACATTATTATAATTTTCCTATCGTTGATATTATTGAGAAATGTACGATAAAAAAATTAAAATACAATAACGATACAATATATATTATATTTTAATTTTTTATTGTTATTGAATTAACTATTTTATGAATAAAATAAATTTTCTATAATTAAAGTTATTTTATTAACCTATCGATTTATGCATATACATATTATTAAAAGCAAACCAAATTATTTCTTTTTAACATTGTAGCGGAAAGAAATTTTAATTTGCAATATATATTTTACGAACTATATATAAATTGGCATACTAAAATCTCATAGAGACATAAATTGACATTTACATATGTTTAAAAATTAATTATGTTCGAAAAATGGCACATCACCTATTAGAAGACAACAGAGATCAGAATCAAAGCGTGTTTTTCGATTGTTAGTACATTCTGTTATTTATTTAAATATTAAAGTATTTACAATTTCTTGCTTTTTATTTTTTTAAACAATTAATTGATTTGATAAAATAACGTATCCAAATTTTCTCTGTACAAAGTAGTGATAAAATGATGTGTCCAAATTTTCTCTGTACAAAGTAGTTTTATTATAAATTCTTTCTAACTTAGAATGAAGTCAATACCATTCTTTTTGTGCTTCTCAATACATTAATATCTCTTAAACAATAGAATAAATATGGAGTTTATCAGCATGCAGCACTAAATTTTAAAGTGACAAGTCAATCAACAACAACGTATTGGGTTGTCCGGAAAGTTCGTGCCGACTAAAATTTAAATTTTAGTATATACATTTATTAAATTAAAATTTTCTGCGTTTCAGTTTTCCTTCAACATCGGCACGAATTTTCCAGACAACCCAATAGTAATATTATTTTTAAAACTTAAGTATATTCCGTGCTATTTGTGGCAATATTATTATTTAAATTTGTTGTAATTGAAATATTACGATAACGTCCTGGTCGCAGCATGACTTCACGATACGGTGGCGGTGGAGTATCTGGACAGGATATTGCGGTATCATTAAGGGGATCCTCAAATTGCCACAGATTCTGTAGCAACGAAACTCTTTGAGCATCGTTATCGGTTTGTCGACTACAACGACATATCTTTCTTGTAATCCAAACATAACAAATTAACATGCCGCTCGCGATACCGAGCAAAAATCCGACTATGAGAAACCAGTACGGCGATATGGAATTCAACGTTTTCCTTAAATTTGTTTCATCTGTCGTAGTAACACAAGCAATTGTGTCTTTATGCATTGGTATAGATATAGAATGTTTCTTTGTCACGTTTTTTTTGATGTTCGGGTTCAAATTTATTAAAGGCCGATTCTTCTCATATTTAATTCGTGGATTATAAATGATCATTTTTTCAAATTTCTTCGGCTCCACATTTTTTGCACATACTGCATGATACTGTATGTTCTTACGGATCAAATATATCTGCAAATCATATGTAAGCTTATCACAGGACCAGGGATTTCTGAAAAAGGAAAAAATTAAAAATATTGAGAATACAAATTATTAGAAAGTAAATATAAATAAACTTTTTATAATTAATTGTTTTGTACTTTACAGATAAGTGTACTTTGCGTATGAATATATTAAACATATTGAAATATGTGTTATTTTGCTTCTAAATAATTTTGAAATTACATCTATAATATAATACACATATAAAGAATTATGTACAAATTAAAAATGTAACCAAATGTTAAAGTTTTCGATAACATTGTCGTCTTACCCCTCTATTGATAATCTTCTTAAAAATTGTAATGTTTCAAGAGTAACGGTATCCAATTGAATCATCAAGTTATTTGAAAGATCAAGAGTACGAAGATGCGAGAGTCCAATAAACATATCCGTTGGTATATGGCTAATTTGACACGAATCTAGAATTAAGTCCTGAGAAAAATAATTTTTAAATTAAATAAAAATATCACATCTTTTTATACAATTGAATTAATTGTAATTCAAAATCAAAATTATATAATATAATACAAATCAAAATTAAATGTTAAAGTCAATGATATTAACAACAATGAATGTAAATATTATAATTTTATTATAGAATATTACCTAATCTAAATAACGTTTTCGTGGCAAATACTGGCTAAAATATTAAGTTATACTTACGTTAATATTATCCTATTAATGCAATATATAATGTAAATATTGATGCAAATATAATGATATTGATAGGAAATATCTTAATTAACATTTTCGTTATTACCGTGAGCCAGGGGCATTCCAGTCTCGGCACATGAGAATTGAAATTGTTTTTTGACAATCGTAGAATTCGCAATTTTTTTACTGGCATGAATATATCAGGCAAAAGATAATAAAGATGATTTTGGGATAGATCTAAAACTGTCAATTCAGATAATCCATTAAAAGCATTTAGGCCAATTTCGCTGATTGCATTTACGGACAAATTTAAATATTTAAGTCTTGTCAACCCTGCTTCCTAAAATAAACAGAAATGTTACAATGAGTATTATATATCCCATTTAATATTTAAAATTTATTTTAAAATTTATCTGAAATTTTACTATATATGGAATATAATTGGGAAATTTAAACCAAATGGCTGTTTTGCAATAAGTGGACAAAATGAAATGAATTAAACATTATAAAATATTTCAAAAATATTACAAAATATTTAAAAAATTTATCATTAGCACATAGTAAAAATGTAAAAATCAAGGTTTTGAGAATCGAATTAAATCGAATTGAATTTCTTCAAATCCGAATCGACAAAATTTTTTATCTAAATCAAATTGTTAAAACATAGTTTCTAATTGACAACATAATAATTATTATTAGGTTGAATTTCAATGTATTCATGAATCATAAGTATATTTTGCGAGCATGTTCCTGGATAAAAAAGAAGAACAAATGTTTCTACATAACATAAAGTCTCAAATTTTTGTATTGTAAACAGAGTAGTATCAGATATAATAACTTTAATAATACTTTTGAGACTTTCACGAGTGTTTTCTTCAAAGGTGCCAATAAAAAGTTATCGCCATGTCGTGATCCATTATTTATTGGCATAAGTAATGGATCGCGACACGTTATAATGACTTTATTTAAAAGTTTCAGGTTAGTATCTACTTTTTTATGTACAAAAAAAGCTCAAAATGTCCTCCATCATTTTTCACACATGCCTGAGCACAACTGAATATCTGATAATCAATCATTATTCCAAATCTAAGTATTTGTGTTCATTATTTCGATAATCGAAATGTTTGTGACATATAATGTTCATAAGAATATTTGTTTTTCTTTTTTATTCAGAAACACGCTCACGAATTTTAAAACATATTTATGACTCATCCCATAATTGAAGTGGGAATATGATGATATTTTTTTATAAAATTTTTAAATTGGTAAGTTGATGATGAAAAATATTAATAAAAATTGTAAACAAATGGAAAATGATTTATTTATATGAAAATAATGAATTAAAAATAATCATAATAATAAATTAAAATAATGATAAATTAAAAATATTCTTGTATTTTTCAAAAATCTGTTGCATTTTTTGTATCACTAATGATTTCGACGATAATGAATATAATAATTTGAATGTTCGCAGCGACGTTTTTTATGAATTTCTACAATTTTCAAATGTGAATAAGTTAAAAAAATTTTAAATTTTCTTCGCGAAACGTATCTTATATTTTTATCTGTAGAATATCAGCAAATTTAACAAAAAGAATAAAAAAATGACGATGTTTTAAAGACGCCCGGTTTAAAATGCCTCATATGTATATGCCCTTAGGAAAATTTAAAATGTGTAAAAGATTAAGCCAAAATAATCTAAAATTTTTAAGTTTTTCAAGGGTTAAATATAATCGGCACAGCGCGTTAGTTTCTTTCAGTTATTCTTAAGTAAATTTTAAAGTTACTTTAAAAAAAAAGTGTTCAAATTTACCTTTATTTCTTATGTTTTCTCTACAATAAATTTTAAGTATTATTTTAAGTAAAATAAATTTTTTTAATTTTGTAAAGTAAATTTTCCCAAGAATGTATATAAAAAAGATTGTCAATATATATTTTGAATTCAAATCCCTTTTAAATTTAAAATTTTCAAATAGTTCGAATGATAAAAATTCAAATCCAAACCGAATCGAATCTTACAAGAAAGAAGACAGTTATAGAACAGCTGGAGTTATGAAATGCCACGATCTTGTATACTGAGAAAAAATATAGTTAATTTTAATAAATATTTAATTGAATACTGCCAACTAAATATTTATTAAATATAAAAATATATTTATTTGATACAAGAAACATTAATTTGATTTAAGAATCATTCAGTTTACTGAACGAATATTTATTTATAGTAAGTAAATGTTTAGTTGGCAGTATTGCCAACTTAAATATTTATTAAAATTGACTATATTTTTTTCTCAGTGTATAGTTTAAAATACAATTTCATGATGACGCTCGACGTTCATTTTTATGACCATAATACAGACTTTTGCATAATGTATAACATAACGCATAATGCATAAAAGAATCAATCAATTAAAGTTCTTCTTTTCCATGAAATAGAAGGAAAGGAAGGATTCTGATTGGTTGATTCTCTTTATGTGTTATGTATTGTACAAAAATGTGTGCCTTTAGCGTCAAAATAGGTCACGTGATCAAATATCAAATAATTAATTTTGATAACTATTTGAGCTATTTTGATTAAAAATGAAAGTTGAACATCAGTACAAAAAGATATCTTTATAATATATTCTGAAAACGATCATCAAAATTACTTCTTCACAGTTCGATGTATATAAGAGTTCTCTAATTGTTTTTTCCTTTTTCATTATAAAGAAGAATATTATTTATCTTCTGCCCATTATTTTATTCAATCATATACAATGTTATATTCATGTTATATCAACATTAAAGGCATTATTTTTCTCCATATATGTATACTTGACATTACTTTAATTTAATTTCTTAAATTGAATTCAATTGTGTGTAAATTGAATTCAGAATTATTGATAGTTAATTTATTTTAATATAATTAATTTATTTTATCACTATGACTATTGTTAATTTGATTTGTTACAATTTCTATAAGACAACTTATTAATTCAAAAGTCATGTAGTCTGATATTTTAAATCTGTTTAACATGAATTTAATTTTGTTTTTTTTTTCTTTTGTAAGACACATTTCATATTTTAATTATATTTCAAGAATGTCATTAATTCATAGATTTGCATGTTTAGAATGATTAATGTGATTAGAAAATTTTTTGTAATTCTGTCAATTTGTTTGAGGAAGCATTTTGAGGAAGATCCAGATCCAGGATCGAAATGTTTCGAGGAATAAATTTCAACATTATCCAAACTGTAAGAGGTTTAATCATACTATTTCTTTTCAATCAGCGGTGGTTCGCGAAGGCATTGTACTTATTTATTGATTAAATCGTTAATCAAGCTGTTAATATTTGAATTTAACTGTAACTATATTTTTCGAAAAATTTCAGATTCCTTTCATAGAAATGATTATCCATATCGAGATCGTCTGACTATTATACATTACTGCGCTATGCAATCAGCCCAATTCGACTTTTTACAGATTTATAAATTTTTGTGGTATTATATATATGATGCTAATAACAATGACAGATATTTCCTGCAGGATATTGTTTCATTCCATTTTCTCCACTTTCATTAAAAAAAATAAGTATTTAATTTTAAAAACTTCCCGATTATTATCCTTTGTAATCCACGAGAAAATTTTAAATCGTACATTATTTACATCGAAACTCAATTTTATATGTACAAATTTGTATATATAAATATATATAAATATATATAAATTTGTATATATATATATTTGTATATATAAATAAAAAGATATGTTAATCGTTTATCATTATAGAAATGTTCGCTAAAAGCAACAACGCTAAGGATAAAAAAATGTTCTTTTTTGTTGCTTTGAAACTTAAATAAAAATTTTAATAAACTAACAGGTAATTTATGGTCAAAATGTCCAAGTAAGATCTCATTGTCAGGTAGGATTTTCTATCAAACTAAAAGTTTTAAAAGTGCCTCAAAGAAAGATTCAAAGGTATCTTAAAGAATAAGAATAAGAATAAAAACGAGAGAAATGGGGAATTTTCTAAATAAAACATCCGCTAGCAAAAAAAGATACAAACATACAATATATTAAAGAATAAGTCAGATATAAATAGACGATAGAAATTTATATTATACACGGCAAAATGAATTTCCATTGCCTACACTTTAACATGAACCCTTGTCATAATAAATTATTATCAATTCATCATTAAAGTTTCAAAATGATAAAAAGAATATTTTTCATTTTTAGCGTTATTATTTCTAGTAGATACTTTTTATAATGATAAATGATCAATATACTTTTTATTGTGATACACCTAAGTCTCTCGTTAAATGCAGGCTGCTCGTACAATACTCACAGCTAGTTCGTAATTATTTAAAATGGATATGGAATTATTCGACAGATCCAAGGCTTGCACGATGCTCGGCGCACCTGTATGAATGCTATAAAGATGGCGTCCAGTGCACGAAGCGTGTTGCAAATTGTACCAGGTACCGCATTCGCACAACGACGGACACCATCCTGAAACACCGAATGCAACCTCGTAGAGGACGAGGACGATGAGCCAGGTCCCGATAGCCTCGCGCGTCATGATGTAGCGCACGGGATGGACGAAGAGCCGAATTCGACGGTCTCGCCACCCAGCATTATCGCTCTCTAACGTTTTCGCGTCCGATCGGGTCGTCTTAACCGGGCAAGAAACTGTCGTCTACTGGACGTAATCTTATCTTAACCGTGCACACCAAGCGTGCAGATGACGAAGCGTGTATATCGGGACGCGTCATATCGTCTTATCCTGCTCATATATATATATATATATA